CCGCCACTGAAATCATGGGTACAGTGGGGACTTGTTTTGGCAGAGGTGTGAGGCACGTGATTGCAATGCTAACCCCTGTGCCTGCCTGAGCTAACACTGTGACTCAGGTAGCTATAGAGTTAAATGCCACTGCCACTTGTCCCATCCCTGGAGGTGGATCTGGATTTTGCCCATGAGGCCAAGTGGAAGAGCTTGACACTCCCAGCAACAACGGTTTATACTTTGGATTTTGCTTAGTACAATTTTACCAAGAGCTTCTATGTCAAATTTAAGAATTCATTAGTAGAAATCAAGTTTCACAGTTAAAGGCCTGGGACAGAATATTTCTTTAAAACATTAAAAACACCCAAATGACCAAGTCATCCATTCAGATCTTTATAGTGGGTGTACAGAAAAAAGGATAATTTAAAACTGCCAAGCTAATCATGTGGCCTTGTAAGCCTACAAAAGCAAACTCATTTCAATCCTTTGTCTCTCCAGCCCAAGGAAAACAGAGGGAGCAACTTATGGCCTTTCAGTGCGACTTCCATTCTTTATTGCTTGAATATGATCAACTGGCTTTTAAGAAAATCTCTAAGGCCCCTTCGTTAGAAGTCTACCGATCAAGGATGGAAGAGAAGCTTAAGTCTAAGAGAGAGAAGAGAGAGGAACTGCAACCTCCAGACTGGCTGCAGCACTGCATTGACTAGGGGAATTTTGAAAACACATGATAGATCTGTTGCCCTAATGAGATCATCAAGTTATCCTCCCTCAAATAATTCCATGTTTCATAAGGCCAAATCCACATTTTTCATATTATAGCACAAAAAAGCAAAAATTACATATTTAAAACAGTTACCATTTTTATTTAAAAGGCCAATGTTCTATACAGTAAGGCTTTCCCCTCACAGTTTGGAGCCAAGCTGGGACACCAATTTTTCCAATCTTAGTGCTAATGACATGTTTCCTTTAATCTTCAGTTTTCCTGACATAAAAGCCATGGTTGGCTTTAACTTGCCTACAAAGAAGGGAATAAAAATATCAGCATGAAAAACACATGCAAATCCCTCTCCACAAAAATACCCCCCCTTCTCCCTACACATACTCTATATATACACTGTGAACAATAACAACCTTCACAAAAACTGAAGTTTACCAAAGCTGTTGAGAGCCCCCTTTAATATATCTAGGTGATTTTTAGTCACGGTAAGAAGGTCAAATTATGCTGCTCTTTGATTAAATGTTTTCCACTCTCTGGGGCCAATTTAGCAACAGATTCAGTATGTGTGTGAAATTAATAAAACCTGATTCTGCAAAGCACTTAAACAATATTTGTTTGGGGGGGGGGG